TATATATATATATATATATATATGCATTTATTTATGTATTTATATTTAATATATTATAAATCACATTTTTTCTATACAAAATACTTCTAGAAACTATTCATTTATATATGAAATATTAATTATGTTCACTAAAAAGTATCAATAATATTTATTGATATATAAACTACTAAAAATTCCGACACAATTTATCTCCACAAGCCAATAAATATTAATAATATTTTATATATACCTTCCAATAATTCCTGTCGGTCCACCAGGTCCTACCAAGACTCCATTGTTATTCGGATAAGTCGTCACAAACGGCCTATTTCCATGACCATAAGAGCTTGGATACTGCTGTGGTCTAGATCCTATGTGCTGTGGCCTGAATCCCACGAATGGGCCACCCGTATCGAAGTTCTCGAAATCGTCGGTATTCTCATGTATTTGATATCTATCGTACACAATAGTTACAATCATTGAAAATATAAATAATCCTTTCTTTCATTAATCTTTCCAATAGAAAAATAAAAAGTAAAACAAAAAATTAATAAAATTGTTCGGTTTAACCGTACCTTGGATTACCGAAATCCCCACTCCTACTTCTCTGTCCATTTTCTTTACTATCCCAAATCCATGTTTCATCTTTGGAAAGAACGCTGACAATGATACAACAGATAATAATATAAATTTGCATTTTTTACATTTAATTTCTACCGTGATATAAGTATTAAGTCACAATTATTGCAATAAGTTCTCCTACAAGTGAAATACGATAATATTTTCTTAACGCAAAAACCTTTAGGAGGCAACTAAATGAGAGTGAAAGTGAATCGTCTCTTTATATATTCAACGGTGAGTAGGTGAATGTACCATGTGGTTCAGTTCGAGGTCCTTTAGGATAATAATGATCGACATACAGATTTTCAATCGTTGAATCATTATACAAGTATCTTTTATTTTTTTCCGAAAAGTATAAACAAAATTTTGCTCGAACAGTTTGAATAGTTGCTGTCATGGTCGGTGATGATTCATAACTCGGGTTTTACCCACTATTGTTTAACATTTTTTCATTCCATTTATTCTTACATTCGAAAAGATAAATATTTTAAACGTAATGTGAATTTCGTAAAGTACTCGGTTGGGTGAGCTCGTTTCAAGGCTCTCTCCTTGGCTAATAAAATAAAGTTTTTATAAAATTATTTAATTAAACTCGTTAATTAATTAATTGTAGATATGATTATCGATGGAATTAAAAAAAAATTTGAAAAAAGATAAGAGAATTTGTATTGATAAATGATTAGAGAAAATTAACTCGCAGATTAAAATTATCGTATAGAATAATCTTTGAATTTGGTATTTATTTTCGATCGAAATTTTCATGTTGGCCATCTCGTCGTTTGATTTCTTGCATATCTATGGCGTTACGAGACCGGTGGTAACCTCATTACATGAAAAATAAAGTCAATACGACAAAGGAACGCATGACCGAGTTTCATGCTAAATCGAACCATTCTGCTCATCCTGCCTTCCCCTTTTTGTTTTCGATCGTTGCGTCATTTTGCATCCGCCGGATACAGAAACAAACCGATACAGTAGTACCACCCTCGATCGATTTTAGTTATAATTCGCGAAAAAAAAAGAAAAAAAAATATAAAAAGAAAGAAATCTATTCGATTAAATTATTTCCTTTTTTAATTTTTTTTTTTTTAGGGGGTACCTATCTATATTTTTTTTTTTTTCGTTAAACGAGAACCGAAAGAATCAATAAAAATAATTTATTTCTAGCGAACGTGAGAGGCATTTAAAATAAAAAAAACATCGAATGGTTTATATTTATTTTGTTCAAATTCATTTTCTTTTCTTTTTTTTTTTTTTTTTTTTTTTCGAAAGAGAGAAACATTTCATGCTAAATAAAATTCGTTTAACCGTTTATTCACATTCAAACGCACAAGTTAATTTCTTAAAATGTGTAAAATAATCGACGGACAAATACCTGAGTTAAACTAATCGGATCGTTTAAATTCCATAAGTTGATGACCTTAACCCGAAACTCAAGATGTACCGGTTGGACCGTGAAGAAAGTTTTATGCTTGAACGCTAATGCATCGTTTTTATTCATCAAATTTGACCTTGCGTAGCGATCATTCGAATAGCTAATATTATTCTATTATAAACAATATACCGTATATGATTTATACGTATGTAAATAAATCGTCGAATTTTTTTTATATAATATAATGAATATGTTATTTGTGTGATTTCAGGATACGGTCATATAGCACCTAAAACTAAAAATGGCAAAGTCGTAACGATTTTTTACGCCGTCGTTGGAATACCATTGATGCTTCTATGTTTGTCTAATATCGGTGACGTTATGGCATCAAGTTTTAGGTAAAAAGAATTATTCCTCTTATTTGTTTGTGTGACAAATTTTAATTAAACGAATATTTTTACTATTTTATTTAAAAAAAAAAAAAAATGTGTGTATCTTCACTCACAAGATACTTTTGTTTTTATTTTCCTCTAAATTTTGTATTATTTTCAATCTGTGCATTATATAGAAAATATGTTATTACTTATCTAAATTCAATAAGAATCTTACTATGATTTAATAAAATTAATGTTCAATGTTCTGTCAACTTGGATCTCCTCTTGAAATCTAAAAATTTTTTTATTTTTTCTACTATTTTTTGTCGTTAATTCTTTGAATATTTTTCTTATCTAAATTTGTATTAGATTCCTATATTGGAAAGTATGTTGTTACGTATGTACAAAACCACCAAAGAAGAGACGAGCACGCCCCAATTTAGGAAGATCCTATTCAGCAAGACAAGCGGGGTGATATAGTCATTTATATTTCATTAAATTAAAGTCATGTTAGTTTACAACGTTCGATTTATTAAAAATTTGAAAAACTATGAATTTTTTAGACGATACGACATCAACAACAGAGCTACATCATTCCGACGTTCGATTAGGCTGAGTCAAAGATCAACCGATGGAACTTTAGGAATTCCTGAAGATTTGAGACGAACTTCTTACTCGGACACAGATTGCAGGTAATTGATAAACATTCAATTATTTCCTTAATTTCTTTTCGTATATAAATGTATAATAAACAAAAAAATTTGTTCTTTTTTTTATTTTATATTACCTTTTTGTACGTTTTTTTTTTTGTCTTCTCTTTCTATGAAATTAGGGATAATTCTAGATGTATAAATGGAATGGACCAAAGAAGAATCTATTCTTATCATTTATCTTCTCCTACAGCATTAAGGTCAACGACCTCCTTTAGAAATTCGGATATTCCTTTATCAAATCTAAAATTACCCAAAGGTAAGATCTATGAAGAAGAAAATGAAAACTATAAAGAAAAAATCCTTGATCGGATATTTTTTTTTTTATTACATTAAATCATTTTGAAAAACAGGTAATCCTAAATTAAGCACACAATCTCTCGATCGAAGATTAACAAGTGGAACCATCGAAACCGATCAGTCACCGGTTCTGTGCAACAAATACGCTTTTGATGATGTCGACGATGATTTGTTTTTATGGCAACCTACGTCACGAAATAAATGTAAACATTTTTATGGAATTTAATAATCATAAGCCCCCAGTTCTGTCTTTGTTTATATTAATAATGGAATTTCTGTAGAGAGAATCCTCTAATAAATTAATATTTTTATTTATATATTTTTATTCATATATATTTTTGTTTATATTACAAACCGTTGTTAAACTGATAATAATTATTTTGTTTTACATTTACATATATATATGTAATGTAGAAATGTTTCAATATTTTGTATTATTTTATATGATTTATTAAAATGTGTAAAATTTGAAAATAACTTGATATTTATCGATAAATACATGTATTACATTTATAGCTGAATATGTCAACAAGATTGGTAATCGTACACAAGTAGAAGATAAATTGGAAGACATTGAAAGACTGCCAACAGTGATTACTAGATCATTACCACGAAGATATCATTCAGTGGAAAGTGGTGCACGACAACATAGATCAACATTGTCAACACCTTATCATTTATCATCAGGTCATTTGTCACCAGGACTCGATCAAAACAGAAGATTTTATTCCGAAAGAATGAGACGTTCTCCTAGTAATTATTCTACTGGTAAAGATTAATAGTTTTTTTACAGAACTTATCAATGAAACACACGCGAATAAATATCGATTTTATCGATCAATAAATCGTTTTTTGTTCAGCTCGTTTCTATAGAAGGGAAGCCTCGTTACCAAGAATCATGTCACCAATAGGATTTGCGATGCACCGACGAGCCTGTACAGATGACATTGATGTTGATTACGAGTGTTACACCACAACTGAAGAACAAGAAAGACAGCCGATAAAACCAGTACCCATTTGGCTTTGCGTATTTCTTGTAGTCAGTTACATATTGGGTGGTGCTTGTCTTTTTAGCAAATGGGAAAAGTGGACTTTTCTCGACAGTGCTTATTTCTGTTTTATCACCCTCACGACTATAGGTAAGTATATTCCTGTTATTGAAAAATCGTATTTAACACTTTGTAATATTCATATTTTTTATCTTGGTTTATAATTAAATTATGTAACGTTAAGATTATGACAGAGGTGACTAAGACACGTTTATATGGTAAAATTATTTTGACACTGTTTAAATCTAGCTTGATCAATATTAGATCATTTAAATTTATTAATATATTATCTTTATTACTCTCCCTTTTATGAATTTTAGGGGTCCATTACTTTTACAATCGTTTAACAACAAATCTTACAATTTATCTTAGAATTTACAATTAGTTAAACAATATGGAATAAGAAACCATAAACCTACTAAAATAACAAATGACAAATGGAATTTTCAATTTATTATTAATAAAATTAACTGATCAAAAAAAAATCATTAACGTAAAGATGTCTTAATTTCATTAGAAGAAAAATAACATAACTTTGGTTTGGATGAATTTTTTTTTTGTAGGATTCGGTGACTTCGTACCAAATAAATTAGACGCCCACAAAGGAATAGCTCTTTGTTCGTTGTATCTGTTATTTGGGATTGCTTTATTAGCAATGAGTTTCAATTTGGTCCAAGAAGAAGTAATCAATAACGTTAAAAGCGTAGCAAAAAGTTTGGGTATTTTGAAAGGGAGTGATGACGAGTATGAAGATGACGATGACGATGATGATTACAAATACGATGCGGAATACGAGGATGATGTAGATGAGAATGAATTTGAACGATGTGACGAAAACCAAAGGAAAACTTATCTCGATGATCGCCGATGTTAATTATATTTTATTTCACTTTCTTGTTCATTTTATTGTCTTTTTTTATAATAAAAACAAAAATTGTGTAGTAAAAAATAACAAAAATATGTTTATTTAATTTATTTATTTATTGACAAAGTTAATTTTTAAAAACCATAAAAATGGAATTAAAAAATCTTCAATTTATTTTATGCAATTTAATATTCTAATAAGTTAAATATATCTAGTTAGAAAAAATTTGATAAGAATAATATTCTTGAGCAACTTGGGGAATTTCATTATTTTTCTAAATTTCGCGCTTCAATATAAAGAATAAAGATTTTATTTATATTTATTTTAAATTATTGATATCTATACATATAATGATAATATATAAATTATTGAAATAAATATTAACATTATTCGTAGACAAATTTGTAATCTTCTTACAACAAATTATCATCTTCATTTCTAATCTTTATTTATTATTTATTATCACAAATATTTCCAAATAAAATATTCATTATTTTCGTCACCTTTAAACAACATACAATATGAAAAATTGAAAAGATACTCAACGCGTATTCAATTTTCAATGTCTATCCTTTAGGGGGTTTAAACGAACAGATAGGAACAAAAAGTGTTTGTAGCTGTTTCAAGGATTTGAATAAAAATCTATAACGGGTGTACTTGAAGTCAATAACTGGTATCGAACTAGAGGCCGCTGAATCCAAACTGGAAGTTGATTATTTTTAGCGTTATGCTATTTTCATTAGTACGTCGGGTGGCACGTCTCGAAAGCAGTGTACGCGAGTGTCGTGCCAAAGCGGTTATTGCTTTTATTCGACAATTTAAACGATTATCTATCGAAAGATATATAGTGAGATTTCAACGCGAGATAAATCTACGAGATCGCGCGTGACAGAAATCGTTTAATATTTTTCATATATCCTCTTACAGAAATCACATGTATGAGTGTGTATGTGTAATTGTTTTTTCAAACTCTACTTTCTTCCAATATTATTATTATTATTATTATTATTATTATTATTATTATTATTGTTATTATTATTTGAGTCGATTATTTTTTTCGAGAATAAAAATGTCGAAGACACGATAACATGATCTACATATGGTTAATTTAAATTATGAATGATCGAGTTATGAAACCAAAAAATATAACTCATCTAATCATGTGATAGACGACTATAATAATTTAATAGATAAGTAGAAAATTATTAAATTATAGGATAAATCTGTTGATGAGAGAACCTCTGATGGATAACAAAAATAATTCTTTTTTTTTTCAAATGATTTTTTCTAAAAATTTAAAATAATATATAAACGTATTATATATATATGAAAAATTTTACAAAAATATGTTGTAAAATTGTTTAAAACTATTACAAAAAAATCATATATAGTATTAAAAATACAAAATATTTTTCACTGTTGCGTTCAAGTACCTTAATGGGTTACAAAACAAATTCTTTTTTTTAAACTCTATTTTTTATTGAAATAATAAATGTCTATAGCAAATAAAATTATATAAATGAATGAAAAAAAAACTTAAAAAAAGACAAAAATATATATTTTTAAATTGTTCAAAACCGTAATATATAAAATATATAATATAAAAAGTAAGATATATTTCTCTCAAGAATATAAAAAGGAACCAAGAAAAAATATTTTAACACGCCTACAGAAATCATTTAACTATAAACTTAGATTATTTCTTCTTTTCTCTTTTTGAAATATTGTATCTCACCCCTTTTATTTCTTTTTATAATTTCCATTAGGCAAATGTAAACAATCCAACAATAATAGATTATGTCAACGTCAAGCTGCCAAGCAGCATGTTTCTTTGAGTATACAATTTTTCGATTATCCGCAAACCATAACAATAAAGTCGATACCAAACGACCGCCGAGATATAATTCAGAAAAAAGGGAGCATAACGATACGGACGTTTTCTATTAAATCCGACACTGTAATTTGCTGATCATGAACGGATCAGTTAACGTAAATGATATCCTGAATCTATTCGTATAGAATTCTTGATAATCCTTGATATCTCAAAAACAGTCTCGTATATCGTAACATCAAGATAAAACATTAATTATCAAGTATATAAATACAACTAAATAGAAGAAAAAATTAAAAAAGAAAATATGACAGAATAAGTTATATAGATAATTCATCATTAAAATGTCAACCAATGGCATTGTTCCAATAGGACTTTTATTATTAGCAACAACTAACTACTCGTTTAAATTCTCCAATTAGTGTTTTTTTCGTAAAAATTTCTAAACAACATAATAATATTATTTGAGATGAAATAAAATAAATCTTCGTGATTAAAATTTCGAAAAAAACAAAATTAAATGTAAATCGTAATCATGAAATAAAAATGTATATATATATATATATATATATATCTCAGAAATGAATGAAATGAAACACACAACTAGCATGTTTTATTCAAAATTCCGATATTAATTATTGGCCAGATCATGCGTATATAAGTCAACTATTTGTTTTCTCGACAAATCAAGAATATTTCAAGAATAATAAATTTCTGGTGGACACAGGTAAAAGAGTATAAATCAAAGTTATTTTTATTAAAATATGATAAATAAGATATAATACATATATTACATTGCTTTCCTTTGCTTACGTATAAAAAAATGTTTGATAAGATCATTAGGAAAAAAACACGTGCTATCAAAATTAACATTTAAAATGTGTGCATACATTTGTTTTATTTATTTCCAATATTATAATTACCAAGTTCTCTAATAAAACAAATAATTACGATGTATACTTTTTTACTCTTGTCCAATAAAAAAATATTTAATTAAATCTCGTTGATCAACACGTTAAATGCCATGAAAATAATTCGATTTTAAATGAAAACAAAAAAAAATGTTTAAACGACATTCGAAAAAGAATCTAAACAATATGTTTAATATAACGAAAATTCGATATTACTCATCCGCAAAGTCTAATGCAAGATATTAAATGAATACATTGCGATTTGTGTAAAATCGGTTGGGCACTGAACGTGTTAATTAACGGCGAGCCAGTTATGAAATTTCGATAATGGCAGGCCGCATCCACCGAGCGGATCGATCATCGATTACGACGATAATTTAGATTCTGGACACGTACCCTTCCCAAACCCAAAAGGTTCACGTTATCGTGAATACGATATCTGCAAATGCAGATACAGTTTTAATTGTCCATCCGTTGGATTAAAATTCGTAAGTATTACATTTTGTAACAATAACAATAATAATTATAACAACAATATTAAATTAAACGAACAGGAGTAGGGGGAATTAGAAGATATTTATTAATACGTTTGTATTTTTTAGGGTAATTGCGCAGATGGGAAACGATATTGTTGTTTCAACAGTAAAAGTTATCCGAGTTTAGTGTCAATTGATCCACGTGAAAGACACTGATCATTCGATTTAAACACGTATTTTTAAATAGGTACGCAAATAAAAGACAATTTGATTTATAAGTTTGATAGACACAGAGATGCTCCCAAATAATATTTATTTTTCTTAGTTTCAGTATTCTTCAGATAATCATGTCGAAAGGATTGATGTTATCTTATATTTTTTTGGATTATAATTGACGTTATGATAATGGATAGAAAATGATTTCTCATTCTGTTTCCTACTCACGAGTGTCTCCTTACAAAGACAATAACAATAAAATAACTAAAATTATATCTAAGATGGATTTAGGTTCGCTACGCAGTTCGATATTCGCCGTAAGAATATCAATGAGAATTATCGTTGAAATTAATTCTAATCGCATAGAATTTATTCTATTACATACTATTAACATAACTTGCCCAATCGTGTTTTAACATGACCTTCGACAACGTTCGTCAAGCTTAGAATAAATGAATCACTTGACGAATTTCTAATACGTCATTATCATTTTTAGACTAGCAGATTAAATACTTCAAAGATTTTTGTATTAATTCTATTAGAAGATAGAGTTAACAAAGAATGTTACGTTTAATACGTTGATTTGTTTTATATAAACGAGTTAGATGATCTTTTGAACTCACCAATTGTCGTGATGACGATAATCGAATAGAACAGAGCACCAGCGAAAGTCCATTGAATGTTATTTTCCTCTTCACTACCATCCCAACCTTCTTTTCTTAATAAAGTAAACAGATTGCTTTCAAATCCCTAAGAAAAATGTACACGTACATTTCTACACACATAGAAATCAGATGAATAAAACAAATGTCCTTTTTTTTCTACCTGTAACTCTCGTAAAGCATCCAACGTCCAATTTTCTCGTACCAAAACTTCAACTTCCTTCGTTAATTTCCATAACTTTTCTGTTATATTTCCTCTTAGATATTTCACGTTTTTCTTTATCTATATTTATAAAAAAAAATTTAATTTGTATTTAGGTGGGGGGGAACAATAAATATTTTATAGTTTCTCTATCGAAAATAAATAATAAGATAATAAGAATAATTTTATGTATGCAAAGTACGGTGCATAAGGGTGCAATTGAATGACGAACTGAAATATATGTGAGTCCAAATTTTTTACACGATTTTAAAAATCAATTTCCTTCTTTCAATTCTTTTTTTAGATTAATTATTTTCAGACTGTGCAACTACAAGCTTTAACATTTTTTTTACAGTCTGTGAAAAAAAGATTAGACTTAAAGAACATTTCTAATTGTTTTTGAAAATCTCATAATATTTTGTTTTACCCATATAGGAACTTCTGGTCTACTTCGAAACTATATGTTACAGAGTTTCGAAGATTAAATCAAATTTGTCACACGTGCAAGAATACTTTAAGGAAACTTATTTTCTTCAAAACTTATATGATGATATTCGGGGGGTGAACCGTTTTCTTATAGGGTGCTTCAAAACTTATGAATAAACTAATATTTATAATAAGATTAATAAGAAACAAATTGCCAATAAAAAAAAACTCTTAATCTTTTCACAGATTATATTTTCTATATTTTGTTGAATGAAAAGTCAGATATTTTTAATTACGAAAATTGTCGAAAACTTAAAATCGATGAGAATTCAGACAACTGTGTATAAGACTTTTGTTTTTTTTATTAGAAACGTTGATTTTTATTATCAAATTATTTTATTAGATCGAAGATTTTCAAGATATACTGTATATACCGGTTGAGACATTTAAAACAAACCATTTGAATATCTCAATTGACATAAGCGAAAGAAAAAATGTAAAATGAAAGCAAGTAAACTTTTTTTTATCACCAATAGCAATCGAATTATTCGATATAAAAATAAGGGTGGGTTTGTTTTAAATGTTACACCCGATATATATATGTATATATTTTATTGTTAGTGCATATATACAAACCTGTTTCTCGTGATCTGCCTCAAGGGATTCAAAGGCATATGCACCTATGACACAATATGCCACAACCAAGGAGACCAACGTTACGTGAGAGAATACACATCTGCTAAACTTCCAAAGAAGACGTAAGAATTTGATGCATCTCGATGGTTTTTCGAGGTCAGCATAAGGGTCATATATTTCCAGTCTCGAGTGTGACATTTTATTTATCTTTTAAATGCCAGGATTATCACACGTGCAGGAACCCCATTCACTCGCTAATGTTTCAATTCATGATCTAACGATAACAAAATCCCTAAATTTCTTCTAGTATCCATATTATATTGTTTAACTTTTGTTTTTTTTTTTTTTTATTTTACATGCGATCAACGCTTTGTTCTTTCACAAGTATTCTAACGTCTGTTAAATATTTCTTCGTCGAGCTAGACCACGTGGTATTACAACATCTATCAATATACTAAACGTTCTCCCTCTATATAAACGCCAATTTATTTTTAAAATTCTTTTTATACAATTTCTTCGACAAAAAGAAATGGTAAAGAATCCGGAATGATTCGTTCGATGAAAATTCGTATATACTTTTTATCAATTTTTCGAGTTATCTTGTAAAAAATATATAGAATATTGATAATTATTTTTTAATCGTATCATTTATATACTTTGTGCTATACGAAAAATGAAAAATGGAGGATTAGAAATGATTCGATTAAAAAATATGTTATTATTTTTAACTTTTGGAATAATTTACAAAATGTATACAACAAAATGAAATATTGTTAATTATTTTTTAATTGGGGATTATTTACAGGGTGTCCTGTAACTGATAGTAAAAGTGAGCACCATTGTACTCTTGAATATTTTTGTGCTTCATAATTTGTTTATAAATATTGTTAGAATGATAATATCTCTTGCATCGATTGTACTTTTATGCTCATCGAATTGTGTGCTTTTAGTTTCTAGGATTGTAAGCTCAGTCAAGTACACGTATCCGACAAATTTTCAAATAACCCTTTTTCGAAATAATTGTATTCTCTACATTTTTGATTTTAGATTTTCATTTCCTGTTCACTCGTATTACAATTACTAGACACCCTTTATACATCGTATCACACGAAAAAAAAAAAAGATGAAAGATTAAAAATCTGTAAATATTTGTTACTTCTGAAAGAATTTTGTAAAAAATATATTGTAAAACCGAATATTATTAAGAATTTTTTTAATTATACGATCTCACACATGTATTGCACGTGTGTGGTTAAAATTTGTTAGATAAATTTTGCATTAAAAAATAATGTTAAATTCTATGAAATTTATGACGAATTTGATCGTCAAAATAATGAAATTGAATATATTTTGGAGAAAAATAATAATAATAAAATGTTGTCACACACTTTTGCATAAATGTATAAGTTAAACCATGCGAATGTCGACCCAGCCGTCGTCTACACGCCCTGAGAACTCTTTTCTCTCTCTTGTTACCGAGAGACACCACACACTGGGAATAATCCTCGGCACGAAACTAAGACAGAAGAGACGGTAACACATAAGCGAGTTTCATCTCGCAAACGGTTGTTCCAAATTTATCCTACCTCCGGCGCATATCGTCGGATTTTCGTCTGTAAACGAAACACCCAAAGTGAATCCACCTACAACAGCGGTAACGAATGTATCATATTTAGTTAGTTCCTACGGTATATGAGAAAGTAGATATTAATATGGTATACCCGTTAAAGACTAAATCATTTGTTATACGTAAATATCACTTTTTGAAAACAATTAATGCTACTTTACTTTTTTAATATATAATTTACTTCTATGTGTTATCTACACTTGTTTTAAAAAAAAGAATACTATTTTTATAAGAATTAATTAAAAAAGAAAATAATATAATCTATTATCTTTATAAATAATTTATAAGTAATATTTGTTAATAAGTAATAAGTAGTACATTTTTAATAGAAATGGAGTTTCTTTCATTATGAAAGTGAGGGGAAAATTGAACAAAAATTGATTTTTATTTGTTTTATAATATAAATGATTTTAATGTAATTTTTATATAGGATAAAATTGTTATTAAAAGATTGTTAACCAAATCTTATTCGTGATTGTGAAGCTAAATAACGCTGTGATATTATTTTTTATATTTTTTAATATAATATTTATATTCAATTTTATTTATATTATAAAATAAATATTAAAATAAATTTTATTAATTTTTTGGCTTACTCCAATTTGATAATTATTGTCTATGGTATATTTGAATATACGATTATGTTAAATCGTTAGCATCTAAATTTGTAAGCTTTACATTTAAATTATTTGAGTAATCAAAGTATTCGAAGCACTGGTCACACATGTCTTCAAAGTTTATTTCAACGATTGAGTAATACGATTTGTATCAATGCATCTAATCATTCTTTATCTATGTCAAGGTGTGCATACGCTTTTAAAGACTGTTAGGACACCATTTTAAATATCGGTTAATCAAATACAATAGCTATGTAACATAGTACTGTCGATTACGTTTGATTTCTATTCAAGATATCGCGCGTCTTAAAGAAATTAACATAAATTTCTTAATTTACGTACTCGATTTCTACAAAAAAACTTCTCAAAAAATTATTATTTTAAAAATAATCGAATAAGTGTACAAGTATAAAAATAATATACGAAATTGAAAAATTTTGAAGCTATCCGTTTTTTAGTTTTCAGACTACGTCTCGAAAAATAGTAATGAAATTAACATTAGAAAATTGTAGATTAAGAGTTAAAAATGTGAGTAAATGATTATGAAAAATTTCGGAGTTTCGACAAAAACAAAACTTTTTTTTTTAAAGAAAAATGAGCTAATTGGTTCTATGTTAGGCTGAAAACTTTTCAAACTACTTATGTATACTTTGTAATGAATATCATACATATATATGTTTATTAAAATTATTTATTTATTTACTAATCAGGAAATAGGTAATTTTCGATGAAAATTCATTTATTTTTTATTTTATTAATTTTATTTATTTATTTATTTATTTCCGCTGAATGTGTGACTTCATTAATTATAGTAAATTATATATACAGATAGGAAACATCGTAGAAACGAGCTATCCACGCTCGAATGAGTGCATTTTAAGGCACTTATTAATAAAAGGCACATAATTCAGTAATAAAAAAAAAAAAAGATTTTTGTTAATTTTGTCAATAATATTTCCATTATATTATTTATATAATTTTTGTTATCACATATTCTTTTTCATTCCATTTTTTCTCTATACACATATATAGCAAATAATAATTAGTTCTCTTTTGAAAAAAAAAAAAAACGAATAAGAATGAAAATCTAAAATTTGTCATCTTCGAAGGATACAATAAATCAACTTTCGACAATCGTAAATTAAGCGTAAAGAATGCGAGTAAATAATTACAAGTTACGTAAAACTATTTTTACATGGGTGGGTTGACAAGTTTTGAGCCTCAACGAAAAACGATTTTTATTTATTTATTTTTTTTTTTTTTTAAATGAAACATAATTTGAACGAATAAAAATTGTTTCTGTGTTAGATTCAAAACTTATCACCAATCCATGTATTTATTATATCAAAGAGAGTTTTCTAATCTAAAATTGTTTACATTTCATTATTAATGATCATGGTGCAACATGAATCGCCTTCTCATAACTCATTTTCGAGTATGAAACGTATTTGTTAAATATATATGATTAACGTTTCGTTGAATTCGGAATATAATCGAATATAGTCAATTTAATAAAGAAAGCGATCGAGGTTCACCATGAGAAGAAGTTAAAGAAAAAAGAAAATAAAGAAGATACGATATCGAATCAAGTATCATTCACATAGAGCAAGTTAAAATGAACGAGGATAATCTTTAAAGGAATATAACGAGACAGGAAGTTTGCTTCATTATACTAACAAATTATGAAATGATGTTCGACGAATACAAATCTTGTGGAGCTAACTTAGTGACACATACTTCTAATCAATTGAAATTTTCAAGCATTGTCGCGTAGAGACATTAAAATGTAAACTGTTAAGAAAAAATTCGCATTTGTGCGTGTGACAGGAATATCATAATAATAAATTTTCGATACAATAATATTACTGAAGAAATATTCTCAAGTAAGATTAAAATCGATTCGTGATTTAAAGAATTAAGCGAATATTCACACACACACACACACACACACATTTCATCTAACAAATAATGTTCTTCAAACTTTTTCGATTTACGAAAGAAACCCTTACGAGTATAAAAGTATTTTATGAAATTCTTCATCGTTACACAACAAATGATATGAATACAATGTAATATATCTAAAAAACAATTCGTAGAACCCTCAAGAGGGTTGCGTGGTGGAACTTCAGGGTTCCCATGGAATACAGTTTGAAGACCATCAATCTAAACGATTGAGATTGACGTTTGCGAAATTATTGTTTAGACGATTTATCAATTTTTTTGCTTACGTACAAAAAGTTGATTATCGTCGATTTGTCGCTGATATCTTTAAATCAAACGAACATGTCAAAGAGAGGTCAGAAAATTCGGTGATTAGGATTATATAATAATGTGAAAAGAAAAAAAAAAAGAAATTAGTAATAGGATAAAACTCTGTCATCTGTGAGAGTTTGTAGCTAAATTCGAAAAAAAAACGTGACGCTAGCTTGGACCAAAGAATCCAAGGATTTGTAGTGTTCTGGTAACTCGTTCCACAAGCTGATCCTTATATCGCCAAATGGTCGTGTCTAAGATGCTGTTCTCGCGATACTCGATGCAAGTCTTCTTTAAAGACTTCACACAATCAGCACGATAATGCTGCAGTTGAGCATCTTCTGTCTCGATCGGATAACTCGTACATCCGGCCCCAAGGCATGCCAATGGGAAATGATTGTGCAAAGTGACGACTCGTTCAGGATTATGGAAGCACTTTATGTACTGGTTTGGTTTAGTGAAGTTCTTCGAACGGTAGACGTGTTGCAGCATATGCATATATCTAAAGTAATCAGAACAAATTTCATGTTAGAATATCTGATATTTTATCTTTATACATAGTCTCGTTCTAACTTATATTTTTTATTACGTATTATATTTTTTTGCCATATAGAAGAAAATATTTTCAGTTAAATTGAGAGATTAATTAATTATTCAATGTAATTTTAATTGAATATTGTATCAATTTTTTTTTTAATTGAAACCAGTGACTTAATATAAACTATCATTCTTACTAATGTATTAATTGTTTATTTTTTATTATTAGTCTTTTTTTGCTGTAACGTATTACTCTAATTATGGCAATTTTAAAAATAACACCTAAAGGAAGAGGAACATCTCTTTTTCTTTCTCTCCCTCTCTTATTGCAAAATTGTCACGTTAATTATTATTGAAAGCTTCCGCTTGACCGACTTGCGGATGATGGCATTGAATCGTTTATGCCAACCACGATTCTGCATGCTGCAGTGCATTCTTTAATTCGAGACCTTCCTAACGATTTGTTTGTAATTTGACAAGTTGAATAATGGATACGATTACGCGAGAATGATCTTTTTCAAAATCAAAACATTCATTGTAAATAATATTCGATTAATATTCTTCCAATCTATAAATATCCAAACATTTTTTAAATGCTATTTCTCCAGTTTGTTTTTTTATTGTTTGTTCATTTTAACCATTTCAAAATCCTACAGACAACCGTGGCAGTTGTTTTAATATCAACAAGATTAATCACCAACGATACGCGAAAATAAACGTCTTGCGAAAATAATGTCACGTTGACGAACAGGATCCGAGATACTGTTAAGCAATTATATGCTGTGAAAGTTAGCGCACTCACCTAGGTATGTCCTTGAAATGGCCATGGGGCTGCAGCAGGTCGTCGAGGAAGTAAACGTTTCTCACGTTGTAAGAGGCTCGTGTCTCGTTTCGTATTTTGAAGGCCTTTGGTAAAACCCTTTTCATAAGGTCCTGCCAGGTAGCATCCTTAACGGGCATGATTACTTCGTCGACATCTAACAAAGCTATATATTCGTATTCGTACATGTGTTTGTAAAGACAATCATTGTAGGGTATGAGTTCGTTTTGCCTTTTATGATTAGTTTTTTTCGTTAGGTACATGTGTTGAAACGAGGGAACGTTGGGTTGTCCCCCGGGTAGTGTAAGAGGTGTCACATGTACTTTACCGAGTCTTTGATAATAGTTCAAAACTTTCGTGATATTAGGATGTACTTGTAGTTCGTAGAAAAAGATTTTATCCGCCCCAAGAAGAGTGATCAATTCGATCCATTCGACTAATCTGACCGATAGATCTTCGTGTAAGAAATCCAGTCCCTTAACGCAAACGGCAAAATCCTTTTTACGTTCAGGTTTATTGTAAATAACTCGAAGATTGTTAGTCGCAGTGTCGCAAGGTTTTTCTACCATAGAAATGGAAGCAGGTGGACCTTTGGTCCAATGAGATTGCGGTATTTTGCAAGCTATAACGTAAGGCTGATATATTCCCTGTTTATAATTACCCCATTTAGGATACCATATATATTTGTATTCTAAATACTCTACTACTACCGGACTTTTCTCACCGTCAAACCACATCTGACAATAAGTTTTAACAGTAGGCTCGATCCTATCGATCATACCAACGATCCTTATAGCCGGTCCGATCCTCGAAAGCTTTCGTTTATCATAAAATGCTCCGAAGAACTGGAAAGTACCGTTAGTTGTCCTCAACGTTTGCCAGTAAATGTTATTAAATTCTAGATCGTAGATCGAAGGAAACTTGAAATTAGCACAACTCTCGTTACCCTTTTTGGATAATTTATTTTGTTGACCGTTCAACTTGTTACTTTTGTTCCAATAAGCAAGCGGTAAACTGGGTAACCTTTCTTCGATCTCTTCGATTAATTCTTCTTCAGTTTTAGCTGGTCTCTTATCCAACAGGGGCTCCAAATCCAATGGATTTCTCGTAACTGGATTCTCGTAATTATTTTTATTACCTACGATCGTAGTTGTTGGTATAATCGATCCACCAGCTATATTATTACCAAAACCAGTCTCCGGGTCCTTAGATCTTTGCAAAAGATAACGAGATAATGCGAGACTACTTGATGAACCAGAAGACGTTTTATCGTATCCTCCTGTTCTCACGATCGCTTCACGACGTACGTAATTGTTATTATCGTCGGTGACCAAGTCACCAACCGCATTATTTTCTTCGCTATTTCGACTACCACCACTACCACTACCACTACCGGGACGAAATGCACTGTTTTCGGCATGACGAAATTGAACTGCTGCTATCATCACGAGACTCCAGGCAAAAACGAACACGAGGACTCGCCTAGCACGTCGCGACGTGCTCCCGTTGCAACTCTGCAACATCCTGGTTCTACTTGTTTTTTCTTTCCCTCTCTCTCTCTCTCTCTCTCTCTTTCTTTCTTTTAATCTTCCTTCTTCTTCTATTTCTATCTTTCACGAAGCTACCGCTTCGTTCAGGCACTGCACAGTTTTCGCATCAGTATCCTCTGTAACACACACACAAAGATTTATTTTATTATTTTATGTAATTAATACAAACATTTATTTCTATTTAAAAATTATATCTGTCGTTTCGAAATTTGTCAAATTTTTTTATTGCTTCAATTATCTTTAATAATTGTGCAAATATGCGCAAAGAATATTATTTGTTTATTATTTTATATATAATTTCTAAATCAACGAGAATTACTGTCTGTTTTGTCAAATTTTATTTTACATCAATCTCACCTGTAAAATACGCAGAATAATTAAATTTCATCACTAAATATGTCAAATTTCACACCCCGGGGCATCAGGTAACTTTTTTTTATAAAAAACATACACGCAATTAATATTCGTTGAATTATTTAAAGAAAATTCATTATTAAATCGAGAATAATTGCATTTAAATAATGAAAAAGGTACACAAATGAGATTCAACCTGAATCAACGTGATCATACAAATTCTCGATTGTATATGAATTAAATCGAATATTATATTTCGATATTATTCATCGAATATACATATATACGCATACATAAATTATCTCTTACACAACAAACATAGAGCACGGTACGAGCACGATCGAAACAACTTCTCATCGGTTATCAATAGCACGCCAGAGTTTTGAAATTATCTGACTGATGTGAAAGAGAAAAAGAGAATCGGAGAAGAGGAAGAACGAGCAGAGAAAGAAAAGGTCGGCTGGCTATATGTAGTTATTAAAAGAATATTTCGTATTGCGATACCTAATTTTTTGACTTTAATTATATCCTCGAGATTAAATAACGAATTAGAGTTATCACTTATGATTATGCAACTAAAAATAATATAAGTAACATGAAAAATATAATTGTCCGATACGATTGACAGGAGAAGACTAAGAACACTAAGGAAAATAATGCCGAAGGGAAGGCTATTAAGGGCTTCAGAATGAGAGAAGGAAGAATGAAAAAAGCAGACTTTGAAATCAGTATGACTCATTGGGTATTTTAAATGGTTTAGAAATTTACTGAATGATTGTATTATAATGGCTATCTTAAAGATAAAAGAATATTGGTCAAAACTCTTGATAATGAACTTGTTGTTTCGTACACCCAGTATAAATACATATTTCTGATGTTTATTTGAATATGTGACAACAATATATTCGGATCCCACTTTTGATCTGAAAGATTAATTTAAGTGCACAGTCTTTTTTTAAATTTCTTAGTAAATGAATTACAGCCAGTATTGGTAGGAGATATTCAATTATTGTTTCGTCAACATTTATGGATCCAATTAGATATTCGTTCAGTACGTTATACGGTACCAATATGGTTATGGTTAAATGACCATAACTTTAAACGATGGATAGATCGAAAAGGATCAATTTCTTAGATCCCCAAGATCACTGAATATCACGTTAATGGATTTTTATTTGTGGGAAACAATGGAAAAAACAATTTATCAAATACAAATGAATACGTAGAGGGATTCGTGACGTATTAACTGAAATTAATTAAGAAAAGTAACAAAGAAATTAATAAAGTAATCAATTCTATTCTTCGTAGATTCCAATCTTAACATTCATAACAACAGACGACATTTTCAAATGGAATTATAATTTTTGAATAAACAATTTAAATTTTTATAATACTATAACATTTTGTTCTTATTTTTACTTATAAAATATATAAATATACGAAATATAATTATAGATAGATGGATTGAACAATTTTGAGTCTAAAATATCAAACAATTTTGTTCGGTCAAACTCGCTTTTATTAAAAAAAAGAAAATAATTGTTTGTTTTGTTAAGGCTCGAAAAACATTTCAATTCACGCCCGTATATATTTATATTAAATACATAAATTTAATACCGACGTATGAATACCATTGATTTTTAAAACAATTGACTTGCTCAACCGATCAGTACAAACATAATATTAATTTAAGAATTAATTCGAATATGAATTTCATTTTCGTGTTTTATTAAAAATAAAAACCAATATCGACATGAACTTGTTCCAAACAAACAAAACCACAGTATTATAATTTAGTCTACATCTTTCATTTCTCGCCCCCCCTCCTCCCCCCTCTCTTCCCCCTCTCTCTCTTTCTCTTTTCTTTTATGTATCCTATTCCGCAGTATACATTTCCCGAGATTAAAAGGTGCTAACCGAGGTGGAAAGGATTTCTTAAGGTGGAAAATTTGTGTTTCCAGGAAAAACTCTTTTACTGGCAGAGACTAGAAGGAGCCCTTACGAAAGTAAGTAAATTCTTGGCAACGATAAATAAATCCAGGAACGTTTTACATCCGAGTTTGCATTTACTATGCAAAACTCGCGCCTTCCTTCCACGAAAGATTTTCATGAAGAAAGTTGTAAAACAACTTGAAATATCATTGGCATCTGCCAATGCGAATAATACACGCGCATACAAACAAAAATAAGTATCCTTAGTATTTATAAATGCGTACGATCATCGTATACGAAAGATAATAAAATAAAAAAGATAAAAAAGATAAAAAAAACCAAGGAAGATAAAAATGATGACATGTTTAAGAATAGAATCCTGCGTAATCATTTAACGCGTTGCAGTAAAAACAAGAAAAGGTGAAGATGAAGATGATGATAATGATGATGATGATGAATAAGGAAAAATGTACATGAGAAAGTTTCGAATGAATTTTTAAAGCTAATTTTTTACGATAAAGGTTGAAAACGATCTGATAAGGATCGAGCACCAATTACGTGATATAGTACACGAATATATTGGAAATGGATACAAGAAATAATAAACGAGTGAATAAATAAATATTTAAAAAATTACAAATACAAATAAATAAATAAATAACAGAGTATAGCAATTTCGTGATTATACAAAAACAAAAGAATAGCTAGTATGCATCTTGTTTAATAATAATATAATAATACGTTTATATAATTTTTAATGTAATTCGGTTGTAAGAAAAAAATCAACCTTCTCGTATTTGATCTTCTAATGGATCTTAGAGATGAAAGAACGATGATTAAAAGAGATAGAGATAGGAGAGAAAGAATGCTGATGATGAAATCGTGGAATGTAAACTTCTAGGATTGCTTTACAGCAGTTGAGATTGCCTAATGAACGAGGATGATTTTTACGGTTGTCATAAATGAAATAGAAATATCATCGGACCATTTCTATCGCTGCATTTGAAATCAGAGTCCACGTTTAAGTGTTCACTGAAAAGTGAATCTTTAAAAATGCAACATCATTGAGGTTTCAAAAGAGCAATGATTTAATTCAGTTTCATTTTATACTCAGATTTTTATTTATTTATTTATTTATTTAAATTATCGAAGATAAAAGTCAAAATAAATTATAATAAATGTTGTAATAAATCATTTATTTAAATAAGGTAAAATAAAACTAAAACATTGCGTTTTTATTATAAATCATTCGATGTAATCATTACCATATAGAGCGAAGTTTCATGTCAGTTTGCAAAAGCTTTATTGTATAAAATGTATATGGGTCGTGTGATTGGAGGCTCGTTTTCGAAGATGAAAATTTCATCTTACTCAATCGTATTACCCATTATTATTTTTTTTTTTTTTTCTTTTTTTCTTCTTAGATAGGAAAAAGTATGCGATGTGCACTTTCAATCGTCCTGATCTAATCTCGCATAATCTTTCTCTCTTTCTCACAATTAGTATTTATTTTTCTTTGATCTCTCTCGTAACTTTTGTCAACAATAGGGTAAGCGAACTATTACGTTTGAGGTGGTCTATCATTTCGTTCGATTCTATCTATAATTTCACGCGAGATACCTCTCGATTTCTTTCTCAAGCTTCTTCATCTTCATCTTTATCTTTATCTTCATCTTTTCATCTGAAATGAAAGATCTTTCGCGAAGTATACTTATCTGGTTGGCATTTGCCAATGGAACGTTCATTCTAACACGAAGGACGTACCATTTATATATATATATATATATATGTATACTTGTATGTATTTATATATGCATGTACGCGCGTATGTGTATGTACTTATGCATGTTAAGGAATCTTTCGTGTCGGTGCTAACTTTAGCAACAGCAGCAGCAGCAACATACTAAACTTCTCGAACTATTCTCGATGAGGATTTGTTCAGAAAGATGTTTGTCCTTTTTTTTTTTCTTTTTTTTTTTAAGTTAAACTTCCTTTGGAAAAGTAATGAAAATTTTTAAGTCAAACAAAAAGTGAAAAGTTTTAAGAACGGTGTACGTTATTTAAGTGCTGTTCAAGAAATGGGGGGGGGGGGGAGAGTATATATCGATCGGATAAATATTTGCAATATATAGAAGAATATACGAAAAAAGCGGTTAGAAAGAATTTTAAAGTGCAACGAGTACGAAAAATGCAACAATGTCGTTTATAAGAATGATGGTAAAAAAACTGTTTTACTAATACAATATAAGAAAGAGTAAGATAATAAAATTAATGTGAGAAAATATAAAATCCAATTCACAATTAGTATCTAAATTCGTCACACATTTTTCACGATGAAATAATTTTAATTCTGAAATCATTTTTCATGGGATATCGCAAATGTTAATTAATTATCATGAATTAATGAAAAAACATTTATATACTCGACGTATTCTAAATATAATATAAATAATTGCAATGGCATTGTAATTAAATTATATTATCCCGGAACAACCGTACGTGTTCCCGAGAACATTGGATTTTGTTAAGAAAAATATATTTTCTTTATCGGCAACACATGCACACACGCACGCACACACAAGAGATTGGTAGATCGAGCGGGACGAGGAAAGGAAACATAAAAGGGAGTTCTTTGTTCCGGTATGTTTTCTTTAGGAAAAGATAAGAAGAAATAGGAGACGGATTAAGTATCGGTATCAGACTGAACATAACGAACCACAACCGTGCACAACGTATTTTTTCTTTTTTTTTTTACTTCACATAATTCAGTATAAAGTATTATTTTTTGTTCTTTCAATCAATAATATAAAAATAGTATCACAGT